TTTCTTTTGAACTTTTTGCAGTTTCTCCCGTTTATCAGATTTGAATTGACTGCTTACATCAGGATCTGGTGAAAGTAAGAGATAGAGATACAACGATAGTTGATTAGGATCCATAGATATTTCTGTACTTCTGTTCACTAATTCTTGAAGAAATACTGAAAATGGTTCCATCGTTAAATTAAAAGTTTGAGTCAATTTCTTTAAAATTTCGATTGCCATGATTCTGCACACGTTGTGTTCTCTTGCCAATGATAGAAGTAAATTCGTTAGAAAAACATTATCTTGTAATGCCAATTTCATCGATTGAGATTCTTCCAAGAATATTGATGATATTTGCAAACAGTGAAATGACATTTGGACGTTGACAGGTTTTATGAACAATTGTGATATGAAACGAATTAAATCCTTCATCGTAGTAAAATGTCGTTGGAAAAATATTTGTAAACATCTTGAATAATGTTTACTATGAAACTTGTTGTCCATACCTTCAAAAAATATTTCAAGAAGACGTAATATCAGATTACTACGATCCGAATCATTGTCAAAATCCAATTGAGAATAAGATTTGAAATCCAACCGTCTGTGAACCATCTCATAAACGTACGTACCAACTTGCAGTGGTAAGATACCTTTCGACGTTAATTCTAATGCTGACTGTATGTCGCTCCTAGTTAAATTGTTACAATTTGGCAAAAGTTTCACTTGCGGATATTTTTTAAGCATTTCTGTAGCTAATTCAATGACTTCTCTAGCTAATTCTGGTTTTAACGAACCAACGGGTACTCTGCAAACAGATCCCAACAAAATCATATTAAAGAACACTGATACGGCATCACCATGAGAAATCTGTTGTTTCATAGCATTTAATATATTTTCTGTTGGCGGCAATAATTTAGCCTCTAATATATTTGTAAATACAGCCGAGGTGATCGATTCCGCAGTTGGCGATCTTCCAACGGCATTTTTAACTACTTGCATGTACCTGTTGTTCTTAGCAAAATTAGACAATAAAATTTCCATAGCAACCTCTACGTCCTTCTCTTTATTAGGAAATAAATACGGCAATGTTATAATGAATATGCTCGTATCGTCACTATCGTCGCATAATTCTAAAAGTATTTTTAATGCTGGCTTAGCCAATATTTGTCTACTATCATTATGACAAGTCGATAACAAAACTATTAGTTCATCGACTATTATTTCGGTAGAAAGTAGCTTTGTCAATCGTTTTACAGGAAATGAAAGTAAAGTTCTGATAACGTTTATTTCATTATCATTGAATCTAGCTTTTAAAGTATTTCTAAAGATTTCTTGCAAACTTGCTGGAATAATTACATCGTCATTTGCGAGTGCTTCTAACGCTATTATTCTGTACTCTGAACTGGCGTGAATCAGTCTATCTAATATTTCCACTGCTTCGTGTGCGTCATGCGCACCAAACGGCCAGGAGGTGAGAAATCTTAATTCTTTTTTACAAGTATTGTCTCTTTCATTGTATTTTATCAAATTTTTTAAATAATTGTCAAATCTTTCCGGATATTTTCTCTCCAATGATCGATATAAATGAACCAAGAAATCTTTATATTCTCTGGATACTTCATTTTCAGAGAAATTCTTTTTTAAAATACTTGATAATAATGCATCTACTGCACTATCTTCCAATTTCAGTGAAGATATTATATCGTTTACCAAATTCTGTATTGGTTGAGTTTCTTTAGGATTCATTAGAATTTCGTGGCATGCAGTCTCTATCAATGGAATGATGAGTCTTGTTACGTTGATACCTGTAGATTGTAATTTGACAATCATTTCTGTAAACCATGAGAGATTTGCCAATCTATGTACAACACTGCCATGTAAATATGTCAATCGGCAAAATGCAGAATCAAATAAAAACAAAAGAAAAAGCATTGCCTCTTGTGCAAGGCATGGCTGTTTAAATATTTTCAGTAATAATTTTTCCATAACATCATCTTTCAGCTTAACTTTAGTCAATAATTTTGAAAAAATCATATAACTGCTAGCAGCAAAATCTGGAATTTCACTAGATAATCCTTTTAAAAGAGTTGGTAACATGTAACCATGTTGAACTTCTTTGATTGTAGGTAAAATACTGATAGCACCAATTAATACTGTAGTATAAAATGAGTATAGAGTACTCAAAGCAGTTGCTTGTTCTGCGTATATTTTTGTTGCTGTAGAAACATGCGTGCAAATAATTTTTAAAAGACCATTATCGGTACTAACTCTGTTTATAATTGTACCAGAGGATAATGGTACTCCTGGCTTCTGTAATGGTTTAAGCCAACGCCATTTATCATTTGATTCTGTTAGATCTACCAATTGCAATGCCCTAATAAACAAAAAACATACATTAAGATATAAATTAATAATAAAATTATTAAATATAAGCTATATGAGGTACCTGGCAAAAATACGAGTTTCGTGATATGGTAAAATTAAAAGAAGAAACTGATCTTTATTATATTGATGTATACGAAATCTATATATCAACCATTCAAGAGCCTTGTGAGCTGTATTCAAGAGAAAATATGGAGAAAGTAGTATACAAAATTTTTCTATTCCATTATCAAGCTTTTTATTAACATTAGCATCATAGATCGAACGCTCAAGATTCATAGAACTTTGGGCAAACAAACTATCTTTGAATTCTATAAATAAGTTAGATAACTTAATCAATTCATCTAAACCACTTTGACCTGAAATATAGAAATTATATCATTAATATTTAATCATTCAACACCGCGCAAACTATAATAACTTGATAAAATGAACATTTTACCAATGCTTAACACTGTTTCTTTTTCTAAACTTGCAGCTTCTTGAGGATCAAATAACAAACTGAAACGTTTTCGATCTTCTAATAGTAGTGTAGTTTGTGGGGTTCTCAACTTTTTCAATTGCTCTGCTAATGATGTAGCCATTTTAAATCTGCAATTAACTAATCGACACAATAATTATTCACACGTTCTAAATTAAAACTATTTATATACTTTATTATCATTTTTATTTTTTATTTCATATAAAGATTTCATAAAACATTTTAAATACGTTTAACACAATGTACACACAATTTCTCTATCATTTTATACAATAATATACATAGTTGAATATAACTTACTTTTTTACTTGCCGTCTTCGATTGTAATTATTTATTTAGAAATTTTTAATTTAAAAAATAAACGTGTTTTATAAAATCAAAAGAGAAATATAACATTAATTTTTTCTCAAGAAAAAATAATGAACGATGTTTGATTATGATCGAATATATAATCAACCGACCATGTGGCCGATATTAACCATGTTAATATACAAAAAGAATAGGAACTAGACCAAAGGAATTGAAAACAAAAAGATAGACAACTAGAAAGAAAAATAGCAGCGGACATTGAGAGTTGAGTTGCAATGAGTAACGTGATCATATACATTTGGGAATTTCTCCTAACCCCATTGGATAGAAATAACGTCGTTTAAAAACACACGTGTACAGTAATACTATATTACCACATAGTTAAAAAACAATATCAAAAATGCAGATACAAAATGCGTTACGTATTTTAAAATTAAAAAATCATCCTGTGAATTTATATTAATATATTAAATTAATAAATTACTCACTTCTCTTTAATCTTCCAATAACATGCTGTGGCGTAAACGCGTAATGATTGGTATAAAGCTTCCTAGCAAAGAATACAGAAGTACATAGAAGCTCGGAAGTCCATTTTTTTTTAACCAAATTCTTCTTAGTTACTAGCCTGGCCACCAGTGGGAGATAGTAGGTACTTAACACGATGAGGGTACAATACATGGAGCCTATATAGCATACTTAGGTGTCAATGTTTATTTAATTTGTAAATAGGTAGAGACCGGAGATAGGTAGACTCCGGAGTGGAAATTCGGCCTCCGGGTGTATACAGAATTGTTACAAACTTATATCATTTCATTCTATTATGTTTGTTTTGTAAATTTATTTTGTGACTYTTCTGTAATCTTTATTATGTATCATGATTCGAAGGGATTTGCAATGATTTGAAAGATTCATTTCTATTTCGATTCTATCTCGAACGAGATATGTCCACAAAATTCGCAAATTCTGTAATAAATTTGATACTTACATGAAATTCAAATGGTTAAGACATCTCCCGCCTTTCGTTTAAAAAGTTTCTGATTTGAATGACATCTGCGGACGAATATGAAACTAATTATCTTCTCGCTAGTGGTCATGTATGTTCTGTTAAATTATAAGGAAGTTTTAAGTTTATCATTTTGAAGTTCCTCCGTGTGAAACTTCGGAGATACTTACAGAGTCCTTAGTGACTCAGAGTTATATCTGAGGAAAGTCCCTGGACAATTAGGCAGAAAGTGTCGTAGCTTAGTTTTGCTATAAGCCTCCGCCGTCTTTTCTTAATTTGAAATGGGAAGCTTCGGCTGATTTATAATTAAGATTAGGCGAGAGAGTATTGGTCAAAGCAAAGATGGATGTTTTCATGGGGAAATGTTATCCAAGTTGATAATATCTCGCCATAGCTCAAGAGGGCTTTCAACGAAGGAACTTCAATTTTTTTTGTAACATTATTTTTTTTTTTTAAAATACATTTTTGTTTTATAAATATATATGTCTTAATGAGTTAAAAATATTATTAAAAAATAAAATGCTCATTTTTCGCCGGCCCCGCCATTAAATTTCAAATTCAAGCTTTATATAATTACTCACCTCTTATAATTTATATATAACATCATTATTTCCTAAAACTAATAGGTAGCTTTAATGTATAATAAAATTCTTTTTATATGCTTTCCGAAAGACGCTTAGTTATTACGGGTAAAACCTAGGATTTCCACAATTTAACGCTGACATATATATATATACACATATTTTTAAAAATAATAAATTATATTTGGACTAACATGGAAACTTGTGAAGGATCGAAGGTTATTAAGGATCATGTTAAAATTTGGAAAGCTTGCAATAATTATGTATACTTATATTATTTTCTAATAGAATTATCATCTTTTATAAAGGTTTATTTACCTTAGTAAGAGACATATCAATTATCATATTACATTCATTTTGCGCACTGATCACGAAATTTTTAACAATAATTGAATATTTTTTTCTTTTTTCAAAGTTCATTTCCTGTCATGTCCATAGAGAATTACCTAATCTAAATAATTTTAAAAAAATGTGAATTTTTAGTCACATTTAATCTTTCTTCGAATACAAGTATTTCGTCGTTGCATATGGCTTAATACTAATCATAGAAAATGTCATATTCTTTTACACATCATCGTAGCATATATGTACACAGCAACCAGTGCTATTTGCTTGCACCAGTGTATTTAGGCTACAGTCATTTATGTATACGTATAACATATATTAAGAATAAAAATACTTGTTGATAACAAATTAAAAAATGAGAAATGGATGTATAAAAAAAAAAGAAAAAAATAACCATGATATAAATCTAAAAATCCGTTCCATGCGATCACAAATAATTATTTTTGAACGTATATAGGCGACAATAATACAGATTACATTTAGAAATATTTTTTTATTATGGAAAGGAGTCTATGCAGAAAGGAATTACTTTCAATTTTTCAAGCTTTCAATTTGTTTGTTTAATTTTCTTTAACACATGATCGACCATACGCGCTATACGTTCGTATTTTTATTTTTCCTTCATATCTTCTTTACGAAGATTTATCATTAAAAAATGTATTGGACTGTATATAATTATCAAGCCAATATTAATTAAAAATCGTTACTTTTCCATATTTACTATGACATTTTATTTTATATTTTTCTTTGACAAAAAAAAAGCAAAGAAAAAAAGAAACATGATTTTTTTAATAAAAAAAATAATGAGAAGAATAAATATCTTTTCCGACTAACTTATTATAATTTCTGAACATATATTATACTTAACCTGTGAATCGTAAAAGTGTTCCTTACTAGGAAGACTGTTCTTTACATATTAAATCATGTCTTATTAGACATGATATTTAACAGGAAGTTTTAATCTATAATTACTATACATATGTATCCGTATTTCAAAAATCAAAACTAGTTATGTTGACATTTTAGAAAAACCTAAGAGAGACAATCTGTGACATTTGTCAAATAAAAACTTATTTAACTAATAGTTATACCTCAAGAAAGTCCTTTAATAAAGTAACGCGACGTTTTTCTGCAATGTCCATTTGATTTTCTAGATCTCCACGATCTGTTGTTTCAGCTCGTTCTATTTTCCATGAGAGATTTTCTATTTCTGCTTCCAATTGTGCTTGCTGATACTCAAACTATTAAAATATAAATAAATAATCAATTTAAAATCCTATATGAATTTTTATTAGAATCAATTTGTAGCATCACTGTGAATCGATAATATCTTACAAGTTCCTTTCTTGGACCAGCTTCCATGTAGTAAGCATAAGGATATGTATATTGTAAAGTATAACGACAACGAGCTAAAAGTGATGCAGCTTCAAACAAATGTTGCCAATCTATCCATGTACCGCTTGCTGTCATGACTTTTTTATTAATTCTCATCTTTATACCTTCTAAAGTTTGTTCTTCCAGTTTAAGAGATTTACTATGATTTTCCCACTGAAATAAATTTCTTTTAGATAGATATCAACATTATATTGGTATTATGATACTAATAATATTAAATGATATAAACTCACCCTTTCGTAATAATGCAAATATTTTTTTAGTGCTTCCCTTGCTTGGGCATGAACACTTTCATGTGCAATATTAGGATTCTCTTTGTAACGTGAACATTCATAATATTCACTTCCGTGTAGTTTCCAATTATGAAGACACATCCAACAAAAATCATGCTTACAATTATAACATTGCATATGATTGCAACCACCATTTTTTTCTATACAAATGTGACATTTTGGACACTGAAAAATATACCGAATTAATACGAAAGAATTATATATGTATTTATAAATGCATTAAATTACTTTTTATACTCTTACATCTTTGGTATGAGCACTAATATAATTTGCTGTTTCTGAATCATCTGCACATTTTGTTAACCACTTTTTAATCGTGTTACAATCAGTAGGAGCATGATAATCCATACCACATCGAAAGCTAAATCATGAAAATAATAATTATTATTTATACATGTATGTTTCTAAATATATTATGACAGATACAACATATACGTACCAAAATATAGTTTTACAAGAAGAACACATAACTCTTTTAGCTCGTTGTTCTTTCGAACGCATGACTATTTGGCAATTTGGACCAGGACAAAATCTCAATTGTGGATGAGATTTAACGTAATCACAAAAAGCAAATTGTTGATACTTTTCTCTCATATTAGGCTTAGTGAGCAAGGATAGGACAAAATCTTCTGGTACTAAAACGTCGCAGTCTTGTGCCATGCAACTTATTCCTTAAAACAATTAATATTTGTTATACAGAGTTTATTTAAGAGATCTAAATTTTCATAATACTATAAACAATTGATTCTGTAACTTACCGGTAGATATACCTTGTGTTATTTGTACTTCAAAATGCATACACCAACAGTCTTTGCAAAATGAATGACCACACATAAGAGTAGAAAATTTGTCAGCACGATGAACAGTTACACACACAGAACACAATCCTTTAGTTCCTGAGGTAGAATCCACCAAAGGCACCGGTCTAATTTTCGAACTGGTCAATAAATTGGAAGCATTGGTACGATATTTGGAAATAATATCTTGCAGTGCCCAATTGTGTGCATGTAATAATACTTTGGCTAAGGACGGTGTTATACGAAGATTGTTGCTTAGTACTTCAACATTTTCATTCAAAAGCCTTTCTACTTCGTCGACTCTCAAACAATCATAAATAGCATACTCCGGATCCCTCCTATTTTGATCAAGATCAACATCGTTATCTACTTCAGCACCCCATGGTTGTACATTATAATAATCTTCATAACCTGGGTCTCCACAGTCTGAATCTGAATAATCCATTTCACTGTCATATTCTTCGCCTGACATCTGCATACACAATTGACATTTTATTACTTTACACTCAAATAATACAGATGACATTTAGAATAATAAATAGACAAATAGCATCTGAATATATTTTACCAATACTTTCTATAAGCTTGTGTATTAACACTTAATTATATCAAGCATAAAACCTAGCAATGATTTATTTGTATAACCTTAGAAATGATATTATTGTATACATTCTAATAACTTTATCCAAGTATCCTATAAAGATACAATGAGAAATAAAATCTAATATAAAGAAAGTTTTCTAAGCAGCATTGAAAGTTTAACAATACATTTATTCAGATAAATATATGTTAAGATATTCAGATATAGATGAAAATAAATTCTAAAATAAGATGACGCATTTGCAATGATTGATCAATCATTTTTCTACGAATTTTAATTGGGATTTATTCTGTCTATTATAGTTAACAGATAACTAATAAAGGTAATCGTGTATTTTCACGATTTATAATTTAACAATAAATAGTACAACTTGTGGTAAATATCTATGAGCAAATAAAAACGTGTATATATATATATACATGTATCTTTACGTTGTATATAAGGCGAGACAAGTATATATGAAAAGAATTTTATTATAATTAGTTTTTATAAGTAGTAACGTACACTAGCATGTGAACTTATCAGATGCTCGTTTCAATGCTCGTGCTAAACTACTCGTAAGAGATAATTCAAGTAAAATCTGAAGGTAGACAGAGATAAGTATGTCAAAATCACCTGACATCACAGCTGAGGTTGTTTAAGTGTGGGTAAAGAAAGAGCGTATATATACATTGAGAAATTTAGATTTAAAGATATAACATTGTTCACGATTGAGAAATAAAAGAAGATAACGAAAAAAAAGAAAAAAAAACATGAAAAACGTGTAATGTATTACACGCAAGTTTTATACATACCTCTATTGAGTTCATAGCATTTTTTTTTTTAAACACGCTTTAACCTTATACAATACGACAGACCGAACGAGTATGTATGCTTTATTTGAAAGATCTTTTCTCGATCTTCGAGATTTTTTAAATTCCCGTTGTTATTTATTTTCTTAGACAATATCACAAACTCATAGTTAGATTTATTTTATACGATAATTTACATCAATTATTTGATATATTTACAAGGAATTTATAAAAACGAGATTACTTTTTTTTCTACAATCGTTCTATATATTCATTTATAACGTGTGCGCGTACGCACATGAGAAAACAGAAATATACTACTGGTGACTCTATTACTAATCGTGAGATCTGCCTTATCAATGGTAATTAATGTTTACGCATTATAATTTATATCACTTTTTTCTTACATTTGAAGAATTCATATTTACTCTTTCTATCTCTCTTTATTTTTCTCAACTATTGATATATATGTATATTTATTTTTATATTTAAAATAATTAAAATCCTATTTCATCTATACAATAACAATAATGAATAATGAGAAATATATTTTTTAGATTGAGATCGATCTCATTATTTGAATTGTGAAAGAAATAAAGATAATTTTGTGGAAATTATAAAAGTTTATAGTTTTTTAATACTTTTATATTGTTTAGAAAAGAAAATGTATATGTATGCATACACACTAATATATACTTTTAAACTCGTATTGTATACAACATCGCGTCGTTATGAAAAAATACACTACTTTTCAGCAGACTACATACGCACACATACAGATTAATGTAAGCAATGCTAACGATGTATATTGCGATGACGGATTTTTATGATTATCTTTAAGATTTAAATCATTTTATAACTTCATTCTACGCACGCTACTAATGCAGAGCAAAATGTATTTATAAAGTATATGCTTGAAATATATACATATATATATATATATATGTATATGTACACACACATTAAGGATAATAAATTCTTTTATAAGGTTAATTTTATATCCAGATGTATTGAATTTGTCAATAATTTGAAAAATTTGTCTATGCAATGATTTGATTGGTTAATTATTTAAAATTTCGTTTAAATATATATATATATGTATATATACACACACCACATATATGTGTTTATATATATGCAATAATTTAATACAATCGATATATAGTTCGTAACTTCGATTTTTCTATAGTAAAAATAATATTCTATTAGATGGCGCTCGAGTATTAATCGAAAAAAGGAAAAACGAGATTGGTCGAACGATCTTTGAATTTGTGGTCGATGTAGAAACGATATATCTCGAGTGGAAGTTGCGGTTTATGATCAAAGTGGTGGTATGACAGAAGCGCTGTCATTTATAGAGTCTAATTGATAAGTTATTTTTCAGATATTTAAAAGAAATACATCGCAATAACACAATGGCGATGGGCAAAGGTTATCGCGTATATGAAAAATTAAAACCACCTAGTCCACATTCCTTATTGTTAGAACGACGAAATCATAAGGAAACAGTCTTATTTGAATCCCAAGCTGTTGCTGTACTTTGTAAGTATTTCAAATTTTTGTTATTTCATCCTTTAATATTGCGTAGAAAAGAAGATATTTTTAATGATTCGTATCAGTCTCTTATTTGTAATTATTTTAATTAATAAATTCGAATTGCAATTCATATTGAATTAGTCGTTTTCTTGTATGTCATCGAACAAATCGATTGTTACATATCTGCTCTTCATTGACTTTTTTTTACAGCTCTTCAAGAAACAGAATCTTTGAAAGGACAATATACCAAATTGTTAGATGCCTATGGGTGTTTAGGCGTACTACAATTAAATGCTGGGGAGAACACTTTACTTTATCTTGTTCTTGTTACCGGTTGCTTTTCAGTTGGTAAAATTGGTGAAACCGAAATCTTTAGAATCACACAATCACATTTTGTTCCATTACATTATAGTCAAGGAAATGAAGACCGTGTTTCAGAAGTTAGAAAATTTCTTAACTCTGGTACATTTTATTTTTCTTGGACATCTGGTCAACAAGAATCCCTTGATATCACTCTTAGCGCTCAAAAAAGAAGTAAATCGACAATTACCGATAATAGATTCTTCTGGTTGGTACAATATATTTTACGGGAATACAAACTATTTACTTTTAATCATATAAAAAGATAAATATGTTTTTGTTTAATGAATAGGAATCGAATGTTACACATTCATTTGCTACGATATGGAGTAGATACAAGTCAATGGTTACTTAAAGCAATGTGTGGCAGCGTAGAGATTCGTACTATTTATGTGGGTCACAGACAAGCTCGCGCAGTTCTTGTATCAAGATTAAGTTGTGAAAGAGCAGGTACTAGGTAAGTATATTAATGTTATATTGAATTTCATTTTGATATAATTTTATATATTATTTTAATATATTTTGTTTTTCTTTTTAGATTTAACGTTAGAGGGACCAATGATGATGGACACGTAGCTAATTTTGTGGAAACTGAACAAGCTATTTATCTGGATAATGAAGTAACTTCTTTCATACAAACTAGAGGATCGGTTCCTTTATTTTGGGAACAACCTGGAATACAAGTTGGTTCGCATAAAGTTAAAATATCCAGAGGATTTGAAGCTTCAAAACCAGCTTTTGATAGACATTTAACTATGATTAAGCAAAGGTATGGGCAACAAGTGATAGTAAATCTTCTGGGCTCCAGTCTCATTGGTAGTAAAGAGGGGGAAGCAATGTTAAGTCAATTATTTCAAACACATCACAATATGTCAGAACATAAAGATGTACCACACATATTATTTGATTATCACCAGGAGTGTAGAGGTGGGAACTTGAAGAATCTCTCCAAATTAAAAGCTAAAGTAGAAAAGTACTTAGAGTCCTTTTCCTTATTTTATGCTGCTGGAAAAAATGTAATACTTGAACAAACTGGTACAATTCGTACTAATTGCTTAGATTGTTTGGACAGAACTAACTGTGTACAAACTTTTTTTGCGTTAGAATTGCTTGCGCAACAATTAAGTTTATTAAAACTACTTGAGAAACAGCAAATGGTATCAAGATTTGAGGAAGTTTTTCGTCAAATGTGGATATATAATGGAAATGAAGTTAGTAAAATTTATGCTGGAACTGGTGCAATACAAGGAAGCTCGAAATTATTAGATGGAGCAAGATCTGCCGCTAGAACAATACAAAATAATCTTTTGGATTCGAGTAAACAGGAAGCCATTGATATTTTGCTCTTAGGTTCTACATTAAACACAGAGATAGCTGATAGAGCTAGATTATTGCTAGCATCTAATATGTTACATGCTCCACCAAGTGTATTGAGAGAAATGTGTAAAAGATATAATGAATATGTGACAACCATGAAGCTTAGAATAAGCGTTGGTACTTATAATGTTAATGGTGGTAAACATTTTCGAAGTGTAGTACACAAAGATATCTCCCTTTCTGATTGGTTATTAGATGCTCCACGTTATTCGTCGTGTAAGTATAAATTAAATAGATTAAATCTAATATTACAATTATATATACATCTTCTAATATAATATTTTCAGCATTGGTATCTGTAGAATATGATAATACACCTGTGGATGTATTTGCAATTGGATTTGAGGAAATAGTAGATTTAAATGCTAGTAATATTATGGCAGCTAGTTCTGATAACGCAAAAGCTTGGGCAGAAGAATTACAAAAAGTATTATCAAGAGATACCGAATATGTTCTTGTTACATATCAACAATTAGTTGGAGTTTGCTTATATCTTTTCATACGACCTGAACACGCTCCTTACTTGAGAGATGTTGCTGTTGACTGCGTGAAAACAGGTTTAGGCGGTGCTACGGGTAATAAAGGTGCGGCAGCTATAAGGTGTGTCTTATATTCCACATCTTTATGTTTTGTGTGCGCTCATTTTGCTGCTGGCCAATCTCAAGTTACCGAGCGCAATGCCGATTACGCAGAAATAACGAGGAAAATAACGTTTCCTATGGGTAGAACATTAAATACTCATGATTATGTATTTTGGTGTGGAGATTTTAATTACAGAGTTGATATGGATAAAGATGAAATGAAGGATATGATTAAGAGAAATGAAATTGATCAAATACTGCAGTATGACCAATTAAAAGTACAAATCTTAAATCACTTTTTTTTAAATATAAATGCAAAAATTACGTAATTGTAGGTATTACACGTATTCATTTTTCATAAAGGTACAACAGGAGCAAGGTAATGTTTTCAAAAACTTTTTGGAAGGATCCATTACATTTCCTCCTACGTATAAGTATGATCTTTTTTCCGACGACTATGATACTAGTGAAAAATGTCGTCAACCTGCCTGGACAGATAGAGTTCTTTGGAAACGAAGAAAGCAAATACCTGACATTGGTAAGTATGAAAGAATACAACTAACAAAAACATTTTGCATAAGCTTTGGGTAATTCTGTAAAAACTATGGCCCTAGATTCTCCTACAGACTGGTATCCAGGAAAGCTTATTTATTACGGCAGAGCTGAATTGAAACAAAGTGATCATAGACCTGTTATTGCCATTATTGACGTTGAAGTTTATCGCGTTGAACAGCAACAAAGAGAACATGTATTTAAAGAAGTAATCGAAGATTTAGGTCCACCGGATGGAACGATAATAGTTAAAACAGTAGACGAGACAGAAGATGCGGATAGTGCATTCGACAGTAATGTTATGATGGCTTTGGTACAAGATCTATCTCATATAGGCGAAGTGATTCTCGTGAGGTTTGTTGGAGAAACAATCTGGGTTACTTTTAGAGATGGACAATGTGCTTTAGCTGCTGCGAAAAAAGGAATGACACATGTTTGTGGCCAAGCATTAACTTTAACATTAAAGTCACCTAATTGGATGCAACTTATTGATAAAGAAATTGAAATATGTAGTAACACTACAGCATCACAATCTAGTGCTTTCTCGCCTGTCTCAAAAACTTCTTTGCCAAAATTAGAACAATTAGGAATTATTGAACATCCATCAGCTAGTAAAGGAAATACAAATGGTTCTACACCACCACCCAGACCAGCTCCACCAGGGAGACCATCTCAACCACCTAAAAGTCCGTACCAAGAGAGAAAACAAATTCCGCACGCAGGCGTATTTAGCGTATTACCTAATCAATTTTCTACGACACCAGTTAAGGAAAGAACCGAATCTGATCAAGTGGAAAGATCGTCACCAGAATCTGCAATTTACGAAGAAATATTAGATGGATTTCCTAATTATCCTGCACCAACTAGGCCACCACCACCACTGCCACGTACAGATCCTTCCCAGGAATCATTAAACAAATCTCCAAGTTCTATACCTCCTCCGTTACCGCAAAGACAAATTCCTCCTCCACCTCAGCATGCGCCACCTAGCTTGCCTGCATCGTCAGTTCCACCACCAGTTCCTGCGAGAACGTCAGGTGGTCCACCTATTCCAGCAAGAAATCCACATTAAACATAGCGTTTACATTAGTCCTCATTTAGAGTATTATTGTCATCTTACATATAAATATTTATGAAACTAAATAGAGAAATGAGATTAATAAGGCAAATTTCTCTTTTGCTTCCATAAAAGCCACTCTTTCTCACTGTATCGCAATGAGATTTCCAAATCTATTTCGTGGCTAGGACCAGTCCTTTAACTGTATACAAAATATCAATAGGGAAGTGCTTGTTACCGTACCATTTCATTGGTTCAAGTTCTTCCAAAAAATAATAATGCTCAAGTGGTTCCATAAGATTGTTATATACCTACAATCTTTAATTACTATTCATGACTCCTATGTTTATAATGATGATATATGTAGATACTTTTTAATATATATATATATATATCACAAGATTATATATTGTTTACAAAGTAAACGAAAAATGGCTTAAATTTTAATGATTAAAAACGAATACAAGGATTATGAAATAATTCCCCCCAAAAAATTTTGGTTTATGGGAGAACTAGAGAATTATTCCAAAATAAAATAAATATATGTTTGATATATGATACAATGGTACGATATACAATGCTGCGCTCTTAAATTATTGTGCATAATTCATAAACAAAATCCATGACATTTGTTGTAGATTTGATTAGCTTGAGACATTGCTTGATGTACCTCAAATGTTGCGAAATAGAAAACTACTTATGAATTTAATAGGAAACAGCTGTTCATTTATCTATGAAGAAAATATATACGATGAAAAAAAAGGGTAATAAAAAAATAATTAACATTGTAACTTAAGACAAAATGTAATTCTCTGTAATTCAGCTTTGTATACCGCCAAATGCATATATATTATTCGATGTTATAAAAAATAGCTATTGTCAAAGTAGTACAAAATTAAGATTCCTTGCTTACTGATAAGTAGCAACACAAAGACACTTGAACGAATAGGCAAGAAAAATATCGTTCCCACACTTATAAACTATTTTCTTCATTTGAAAGTAAAAGAATATTTTTAGAGATGTCATTTAAAAATATTTTTATACGTTCTAATCATTTTCTTCCATCAGAATTTACATTTTTTCTTCAAACAGACAATGCTCAATGAAACTGGGAACATTCTTCGAAATAAATCACACATGATCAAATATTAATCTAAAATATTTTTGGTAATAAATAAATCAAATTCGGTGTAATTTTAATAACATTTAGAAAAAAGAAAAAATATCTTGTTATTGAGAAGAAAGTGAAATTTTCCTAAAAATTATTCGATGGGTATATCCGCGTGCGTGTTTATATTATTTATTTTTTATCTCTCATTTTCTCTTTTCTGTTTTTCTCTCTCTCTCTCTATCAAATAATAATTACATCCGTAGAAAAAGAATTAAAACATTCCTAAAACATCGAAATATATATAATATCTATATATTGAATTTTTATTATTATTATTATATATACTTATAGTTTAGAATTTTAATTATAAAAATATTTTAAGCTGCAAAGATGAATCCGCAGTGCTGCATCTAATTGACATATTAACAATTATGAATTAATATTGTTTCGTAAAAAAGAAATTTTGTTTATCTAAGTAACATATAACCGTTCTTTAATTTTCATACCAATTGAGATAATATTTATTTGTGTTCCTATTAAACGGAGTTATATATATTTATATAAAGTTAGTCCCATTACTTTATACAAAGTAGGATCATATATATATATAAAATCTGTTTTACAAAATTTATGTGCGTATGTGTGTGAAAAATTTATATATAAATATACTGTAAACACAAAGCGCTGTGCCTGTCAAAAAAAATTAAGATCATGTGTAAAGCAATGTAAATGGCTGTGAACACAAATCCAGAAAAGAGTATGCTTTTAGTTAGAACATATTAATCCATTTTAGCAAATAAATTATGTACAAAAATGAATACATCCGATATATAACGATTTCTCACACGAGTCGCATTTTAATCATTTTGAATTTATGATGACATCAGATGCAGAAAGTACAAGAATGACTCAACGAATAGCAGTGTTCGAACAATGCATCACGGATATGTCAAAAGTATACAAAATTATTTCGATATCACGACGACTATTTATAATGAATATTATGAAAATCCCATTTAGATATATTTATATACATCATTTTTCATTCCATTCAATTTTATTGAATTTATGAAGTCATTAACGATACGAGTTTCTTGTACTTTCTCTTCACAAAAAAAAAATAGATTTATCGAAGATGTCGTCTACAAATTTTTGAGGAAAAATTGTCGCACGCTATAAATCACATAACAATTGTGTTTTATTCTTTCATGATTTTAAATTAATTTTGCACACAGCATTCGTTTGTGATGCAATAACACATATTGAGATGATACATTGATATTATTTAAACTTACATAATTATGTTTAAATAAATCAATGCAAAATTCGTTGTTGACTCGCAAAGAAAGTCTTAGATTAATAGCTAACTAGATCCTGATCTCGACATTAAATACACAATTAATACAAAATTAAAAGATCTTCCGTTTGCGCGCTTTATCTTTTTGTAGATGAAGAAAAAAAAACATCGATTATTACAAATCCAAATTGATTATTAAGTTACAATTTTAAGTGTGATTATTATATATATATATATATATATTCATCAATATATATATATATATAAATATATACATTGTATATTGCGCGCATTAACCCAGAATTAAATTCACAGATGAAACTAAAAATGACTCATTGTCGACATATAATAATACAGAAGGATATTATGTTAAAAAATATAGGATCCAGCAAATAAAAATACCTAATAAAAAAAAAGAATATAGGATATACTAAATGTTAATGAGATGTCAAAGTAAAAGTCTTATAAGATTAGTACATGTGTTTACATGATAATAAACTGTTTTTCCTTCCCTTTCTTTACAGTTTTAATACAGTCTCTCTTTTGTCATGTCTATAAATTGATTGTTATGTTTCCAACATTTGGAAAGATTTTTTACATTTTATAAAATAATGGAGTATTGCAACACTTAGCTTAATAATCCACAATTGCTTAAATTATTTTTAATAATGACGTCGGTCACAGCGTCAAATACAAATTGTATATTAGATGTATCTGTGGCACATGTGAAATGTGTGTAAATTTGTTTCTGATCTTTCCTTTTGTTTAAATTTTCGAATTTCATTTGAATATAAGATGCACATTCCTCATAAGTGTTAGCACCTTTGTAATCCGGAAAACAAATGGTTAACGGGCTTCGAGCAATTTTTTCTTCAAAAAGATCCTTTTTGTTAAGAAATAGTATAATCGACGTTTCAACGAACCACTTGCTATTGCATATGGAATCAAATAGCTTCATTGATTCGATCATTCTATTCATTTCTTCATCCTCCGCAAGGACTAAATCGTACCCACTGAGAGCGACACAAAATATAATGGCTGTAACACCTTCAAAACAGTGTATCCATTTTTTCCTCTCTGACCGTTGACCACCAACATCAAACATTCTGTTAAATTAGAAAAAAACATACTAAGTTATCATCATCTCGATATATCAAAATTAATTAATAATACAATTATAATAAACAAAAATAACATACTTGAAATGTAATCCTTTAAATGAAAAATGAGTTTCGACAATTCCAGTAGTTTTCACACGTGTTCTAAGGACATCTTGTTGAGTAGGAATATAATTAGGTTGTGCTATACGATCAAGAGCATTTAGATAATATGCAGCAGAATCATTCAACTGATATTCTCTACTGCGTGTGAAACAAAGTTGTACACCTGCATCTTGCCATAGTCTTTTCATTAATAACACTAACTCTCCAGTAAGTTCACCTTCCTCAGCTGCTGAAGCTAGGGTGAAGAATTGTCGAGCTATATCCTAATGCATGATTATAATAAATTTAAAGGATTAGTCTTACTCGTAAAAAATAAGAAAAGAAATAATAAGGTTTACCCTTTTTAAAAATAACACTTACAGCCTTACTAGAATCAGCGAAATCAATTCTTAGTTGCCCCATAGCTCTGATTATTGCCATTAAACTTTGTATTGCGTTACTATATACTACTGGCTTATATTGTTCGCATTCTTCCTTACTATACCCAGTTTCATGAATTATTTTCATCTGTTTTACTATTGTTGATTTGCCAGATTCTCCAGCCCCTTAAAAAGAAATAATTAAAAGTATGATCTTACTGTATAACAATTATTTACTCGTAACAAAGTTAATTTTGTTACGAGTAAATAGCTTGTAAAAGAATTTCAATAAAAACTTTCATTTGAGAATTTCTCGAGAAAGATAATAAATTTTTAATCTCTATTGTATATATATATATATATATTTTGTAAACTCGTACGAAATTATATATGCTAACGAATGCAACAAGTATCAGAAATACGTATGACATGCGCACCAACGTCGCGCCAATCGAAAAATACTTTTATTTATTCTTAGTAATTAAATTGTGGTTGAGTATTCGTTCATTGCCGGAAAGAAAAAAGTTGTGAATAGGATTTCAAAGATGTATCATCTCTTGAGAATGATTACGCAGCACGTTTCAAGGAAAAGCGTAAATAGTGATTTGACATATATGTATGCAACAGGGTGAGACATCGAGAGCTCTCGATATGTATATATATATATATATAATAAATATTTTAACGTTACAATAAGAACATATGATATTAATTTGTTTTCATTCTTTTATTCTTCTTAAGGATATTAATAATCATGTCGAAAAAAACGATTATATTATGTACATGAAATCATATATGTCTCTTTTTCAATGGACCAATGGCTGAACATCTCCTTGATTAAAAACTTAAAAACCAAATTCGTAGGAATAAAATTGATTTAAACAATCTTACGATATAATACGATTGATAAAACAATTTAATTCTTATAAAATATTAGGGAAAATATTTAAAAGAATAAACGTACCAAGTAAGAGGAGTTTGACCTCACTGGCGGCCCGCTCGCCATCGGCCCTCAGATCTTTGTCGATTTTCTTGGACCTTTCAGCGGCTTCTTTGTCTCCGGTGGTGCTTACAGCACAACCCATCCTCACCGGGATTGAAAATACCCACAAGATAAACAATAAACACCATGCACTAATCGTGTTTATAATAACACGTGTCTTTCGATTAGTTATATTTGTCCGTTATAATCGGCCGCTACCGTCTGACACTTGTTGCACGGACGCGTGGGAACCGCCCGCACGCGGTTCCGCCTGCATATACGCAACAATTAAAAAACTTTAACAAATCTTTCACGAGCCAATACGCTAAGGAGTTCGCGATTACCTTAATCACTTTAAACGTAACGTTACAAAAACACAACGATGCCAAACGTAAAACTACCGGTGCCCTTTCTTCACATTTATTGACACTACTTTCTACGGCCCTTACGACTTGGATGCCAGATCCCGCGAGATCCGGAATGATTTAATTTCGTCGCTTATACACTACTTAGTAAACGCGACCTTAATTGGTTCTGCGATCATACGAACATTACGATTGGTTATCCAAATTGGTTTGAATTCTCTCAGCCAATTAGATTATTCGACTTCTAGTACTTCTGATTCGACGATATCTAGTCTTATACCTGACATGCAATTCTATTGGTCACATTTTTCATATTTTCAGACGATATCCTAATCTTCGAAAAAAAGGGATTTTTAATTTATTTTGGTTTCTTTTTATTTTTTCTTTTTTTATTTAAGAATATATGTTAAATATGTCTTATTTAAATGTAAAATACTTGTTAAGTGTATACCATTAAAACATCACAAATGTTATAATCTTCCTAATAAGGCGAGAATATATACTTCATTTAAATAATGAATTTAAATCGTTTTTACAAATAGTCGAGTCGTTTTAGGAATTTGTTACTTATAATTCTACTGTCCTTGAAAATGCCTCGAATGTAGCATATCTCATTAATGTTTAGAGGTTGGAACACGTGTTTTACAGTTAACCTATAAGTTCTATAGATATTTAGAAAAAAAAGTATTTTTATTAATTAAGATTATGTCAGTATATCACGACGAAGTGGAAATCGAAGACTTTGAATACGACGAAGAAGGAGAAATTTATTATTATCCTTGTCCTTGTGGTGATCAATTTCAAATATCAAAGGCAGATCTTATATCTGGTGATGATGAAGCTATGTGCCCATCGTGTTCTCTCATTGTTAAAGTAATTTATAATAAGGAATCTTTTTCTGAAAAACCAAATTTTGCTAAAACAGAAAGTGTTACTGAAACAGAACAAAAACTTAGCACGCAGAAAGTGTAAGATAGGTCCATATTCGTTTATATTGTTTATCAAAGAACTTTTTAATCATGGCAGGACGAGGACATGGAAAAGGTTCTATGTCTTTTACTTTTGAGCAATTAGGACTTACTAAAGCTGAAGCTATGATGCATCCAGTTTTAGAACCGCCACCAAAATATCCTATATTAAAGTATAAGCCATTGCCTTTTACCATTACTAATGAAATAAGTTATTTAATAGAATTGAAAAGGGACTTTTCCGAATATTTTAAAGAATCTCCTTTTAATGTGCAACCTATTGAAGTAAAGAAAGACGTTGAACGTTATTCAGATCGTTTTCAAGATTTGATGATTGATAAAAGTGGCTATGAAACTAAGTATGACTGGTCTAAAATACCAGCAGAATTGAAACCATCTTCTATTCGTAGAAAGAAAGCTCTAGCAACAGCAGTACCTAATAAAAAACAGAAATTGGTTGATGTAGAATCTAAATTACAAGAGTTAGAGAAAAAGGAAATTAATCAACAAGGCGAAGTACTGGAATCGGAAGAAGAAAAGGTAGAGGAAGAAGAAGAAGAAGAGAAAGAAATGGGTGTAGATGAAGACGAAGTAGATGAAGAAATGGATGAAGGAACTGATTACGTAAATAGTTATTTTGATAATGGAGAAGGTTACGATGATGAAGAAGATAATATAGATGATGGAGCCATATACTAAAATGTATCTTATCTTAAAGTTACTAATAATTCAATCTTTACAAATTCTGGCCATATATTTATATGATATTTCTATCGCAAAGTTCTATATATAAATAATGTAGATAATATAATGCAACTATATTTCTTATACAATAGTGGTTCGTACATACATTATCTATTGAAAGTTTGTATTAAAGACTGATGTATATTGCTAATATTCTTACCTCGATTGTATTTAATTAAGGCCATTATTAAAAAAGCATTATTTCTTGTATATTTATTATTTCCATCAAATTAAAATATGTAAATTATATAAACTAATGATTCAAAAAGATTATATTTTGAAGTAAAGAAAAGTAATAAGGATATAATATTTTAAATGTTGAAAAGAGAGAAAGAAAAAGAAATCTCTTTTCAAAGGTAATTTGTAAACGTAATGATGATTATAATTTCGTTGAAGTCCAGGGGAAAAGAATGTGATAAGCTTATTTATTTTAGCGAAATTTTACACAACAATTAACAACCAAAATCTTTTTTTTTTTCTTTTTTTTTTATTATTATTCTTTATAGTATCGATTAAAATTTTGCGGTTCCCTCCTGTGTAGGTTCGCCGATTTATTTCAAAGGCCCGTAATTTTCGACTATGCACTGAAATGGTTGGACCATCGGTACAGAGAAAATATAAAGTAAGGATGCAGATTAATCAGCAAATCTTAATATATATTTAAAGATTAGAAAGGGTCGAACAGTCGTGTTTTTTTTTGTTCCGTATGGATTTAAAGCGCGCATTGAGATTTGTTTTCTATTGTACAAAAAATTAAAACGTCGTATATATATATAATTCATATATATGTATATATATGATTTTCGAACAGAACACACTAATTTATCTTATGAATGAATTAATTTAGCTTTCGTACTTTGACGAGTGATCGAAATGCCATTTAATTTTGCACGTCCGCTTCTTATCACCGCTTAAAAAATCTTAAAGCGTATAATAGTAGAACAAAATTCCTGCGACCGTGTGTAATCGTTATTTATTTATTTATTTTCTTGTATTTTTTTGTTTTGTTTTTCGTTCGAAAGAACAATGCATTTGGTTTTAGCCAGCGAATAATTTAGCTTTCATCTTTTATTAATCGTTCGTTCGAGCTTTGTACGGAAGCGTAGTGAGGCTTTATGTATGTCGACGATGCAAATTTTCTTTCTACTTTTTTTAAATTGTGTGATTTATAACACATACTCCGTATACACGCTACATCTGCATACTCGATTATTCACAGCCTATGTTTCAATGGGAAAACGTATCGGTGTGTAAAGACGCACTGACACGGTATTCGCATTTAATAAAAAAGAAAATAAAAGAAATATGAATAATTAAAAAAAAAAAGAAAGAAAAAAGAACATAGAGGGACGTAGATAATACAATCCAATCGATTTTTACATTAGAAATAAGTTATTTAACGTATTTTTTTTTGTATAACGCATGTCGTATCGTTTTCTTCTTCTTTTTATGTTTTCTTATTTTGGTAAGAAAGTATACTACCCGTGGGACGAGTATTGAAAAATGTATAATAATGGTCTGTGTCGTCGTTGTGTGTCCCGTCTGCACGAAAAATCGTTTATTTATTTTTTTTAATGCACGATCACTTAACGTCGTAGGCACGGGGGGAAATATTCAAGGAATATTGGAACTCTCTATATGACATAGATATTTGCTAACATCGTAACACGATTTCGTGTAACAGAGAAAGCGTAAATCGTGTGAAAATGAAAGCATCGAAGTCTCGTTCATCTTAATCATCTTTTTCTTTATCTTTTTCTTTTTTTTTTTTTTTTCTTCTTCTCCAATTATAATGACGAACATTGGACGTTTGAACACATGATCCCCAAGAGTGTTTATCAACAAAGTGGTAAAGTTTCTCTCAAGAGCTAAAGCTCGAAACTGAATAATATGTATAAGAAATTTGTTTATAACTCGCTAGCTTTAACAATAAAAGATTCAGCCCACACTCGCTGAATTTTAATTGGCATTCGACTTTATTTTCACCATCTTCTTCTTCTTCTTCTTCTTCTTCTTCATCTTTGTCGTTTTTTTATTATTTTTTGTTCTTTTTATTTCATCGATCGTGAGATAATCGTCGTTAACCCTTTTACATTTACGTTAACTCTCAGACGCATGTCTACTTTACAAAAGTGTGTTATTTAACAAATTATAGAGGAAATGCGTGATTTTTGTTATACTTTTGAACATTCGGAGTTTTCTTAATTAAATTGGTGATTAATGAAAATTTGTAATCTAACAAGTAAAAAATTTTCAAAAATTTATTCATTGCGTAATTCGTATAATTAGGTCGAATACACGAGTTACGTAACAAATTATATTTTTTTTAAATAATTTTTTACTTCGCAATCACAATTTTTATAATTACCGGCTCAATTTATGTTCGTGGTATACGAACGATCTTTTTACATGTTCATTTGGCGTGAAGGAACTTTCCTTGATTTTAAAATAAATTTCACTCATTTGTGTTTTTCATTATTCCACTTAATTCACAGAAACGAATTATTTTGTATTTTATATATATGAGCCGTTCACGGGCAAAAAGCGATTAACTCCACTTATAGAATTTGTAAAAAATTTAACAGCCTAAACAGGCCTCTAACAGCCTTCTTTGATGTTTAACTCTTTTTAGATTAAAAATAAATTTCTTTTAATAATTAGGCTTAACAACACCCAAATGAGAAAATAGTCCTTGAATAATAAATGATATCACAATATATATATTAAGTTTATTAACGATCTACTTTTTGTTTTTAGGAGTAAATCCCATAACGCGCATCCTCGAATTTACTCGAACAGCGTAGCATTTTAATGTTCCAAAACAAAAAAAGTAATCACAAGAAATTCTATATTATATATATATATATATATAATAAATAGAGAATGAAATTATTTTTAATATATTCGCACGCGAACACACACATAATTTTTTAACGAAACTTTTCAATAATTAATCGTATATAAATTTAATAATTAAAACGTCTACGTATAAAAAAGTGATACCCTTTTCTTGCACAAACTTTTTCGTCTCGTTTACAGGTTAATCAATTTAACAAATGAGCGGCCCATATAATATATATAATATATATATAATAAACTGATTATATATTTTCTCTCTAAACGCATTATTATCACTTAATATAAACGTGATTATAATAAATAGAGAAAGAGAAAGAGAGAGCCATCGAATTCTATGTCGAATCGAGCATCATCGTTATTTATCTGTAATTATATTATTTTCATTTATCTGAACGTTACAGAGATACGATTGAAAGAAAGAGAGATCATGGATGTTATATTCTGATAATTATTCTTTCCATTTAAAAGTTTAAATTTAATCTGGACGGGTAGTGCGAACTTGTGTGAGATGCGCCTTCGATATGTAACGCGGTGCAGATCGGACAAATCGAGGGAGAATACGTATTTTTGTTATATAATAGGCGACATAATTATGCATACTACGAAATCAGCCAAAAAAGAACACATTGCGTTTTCATTTTGTCTCTCAATCTTGATCCGATCTGTACACTCGAACTCTTTCTTTCTGTCTGTTAATTACGAATCACGCTAAGGCGCTATTACATTCACTTAAATATTCTAACGTTAATTAAGAGAATTACAAAAAAAAAACAAACAAACAAAAAAGAAACAAAGAAAAGAGAAAGAAGAGAGAGAAAAAAAAGAGAGAAATAGAGAGAGAGATAGATAGATAGATAGAGAGAGAGAAAGAGAGAGAGAGAGAGAAACAGAGAGATACGTTCGTAAATCGTATAAAAGTATTTACCTAATGCTTAAATAGCGTCTCTACTAATCATGGCGTCGAAATTCGAATCATTCATTTTTATTTTCATTTTCTTTTTTTTTTTTCTTTTTTTATATATATATTTTATTTTGTTTTTCTTTTTTTATCCTCGTTCATATAGAGTCCTGTGGAAAATTGTGCAAATGAAATATTCATCCATCCATTAGTAGTTGTACGATGGTTTTTGTTGTTGTTGTTGTTCTTGTTGTTGTTGTTAATCCGTAAAAAAAATGATACGTATTGTCGCATAAAAGTTTCTATAGGAATCGTCGATTTATTTCATTAATTATATCGTTTCTAGTTGTCCGAGACTAATCCAATAAATATATAGTAGTACCTCGTGTGTGTTATTGTGCGTAATCGAATTTACGCGCGGGATTGAAAAATTATATTTAATAGTAATTCACAACGGCTATACGGCTCTTTCACATATGTGATGTATGATGCGCTAACGTTTCTCGTAATCGTTCGTCTCGTTCTTTTTTTTTTTATTTTATTTTATTTTATTTTATTTATAACCCGTGAATGTAATAGTACCTTCGTAGTGCCGTATATCTAATTTTCTCTTTCATATTTTTTGTTTTTTTTTTTTTTTTTTTTTTT